CCTTTGCAATTCCATCGTGCGCATATAATGTAATGTATCCATCTTTCGCAAAAGGTTCGTAATATTGTGTAATTTGATACCCCGCAGGTTGATCCCAATGAAAATAATGTTTGCGATCAAATCGACTCGTTCTTTGAATGTTACAATTCAACGCCAATGCTCCTCGAATCGCAGGAATCAGAGTCTCCTTCTGAAATATGGGCATAGAGCCCGGTAAGGCTACATCGAAATATGCGACATGTGTGTTGGGCGTATCGTTAAAAGATGAGGCAGCGGATGAGAAAAGTTTTCGTTCAGTATTTAATTGTGCGTGTATTTCGATTCCTACGGTTAACTCCCACTCATCAAGACTTTGTAACTTTTCCGAATTTGTATTTCTTCCTATTCCTTCATCTTTTGGCTGTTTCCGCGCTGCTTTGAAGGAATTTTGAATGCTGTGATTCGTGGAGGAGGAAGAGGCCGATTCTGTCTCAGTATGTAATTCTTGCACTGCCCGAGATCTCGAGGCGTAAATGGAAGGTGAATGGTTACTACCAATAGCAATAGCTCTATGACGAAGACAACCCGTGGAATTGATTTGGCCCCCAAGGAGATATCTGCGAAGAACCAGAGGAGCAATTCGAGTCATCGGACTTGCGGATCCTCTCAATGAGGTGGTATGGTTTCCAATTGGTCTTTCCTTGGGCAAATAATTGGTTTGATAGAGAGTTCTAGGAAATTCACGGTCGTTGATCAGATGGTCAGGCAGAGTTCGGGTTCGGGCTCGGGCTCGGGCTCATGCATGCATGTAATGAGATTTTTTGAATAATTGGGCACCCGATTTGAGGGGTCTCCAGGGCTCGGGGGGAAAAAAAGATAGGGATAGGATCACTTGGTGGCTATGACTCCTCTCTGTCTCTCTGTCTCTCTGTCTTATTTGTGAATGATGGATGCGATGCTTGAAAAATGAGTGAGAGAGAAAATCAAATGAGACCGATATTGTTATCGATCAACTTATGATGATATCCCGTAAGGCGTAAGATATTGATTGATATGATAATATGTGTTGAAGAAGTATTGGTTATACCAATACAAGGTGTCGAGTAAGAATGGTGCACGTCTTGATAGAATATTCTATCTCGTGTAATCGAATCTTCATCATACTCGGCGATGATATTATCTTTTTCTTATCAAAAAGAAGAAGGAAATCAGAAAAGAAATGTGAGAAAATGTGAGGCTGAATAAATGTTTATCATAATCATTTTTAATTTGGTGAATTGAAGATTGGTACCTACATTAATTAAAATGTTCATCACCAATTAATTCATTCGTCGATGTTGGTAGCTACCCAATTCGATAAATTCAATTGAACTGTGTGTGTGTGTGTTTGAAGGTAAAGATAACGTTATGTGTGTGCTTGTTTGTTTTTAATTTGCTATGAGGTCAAGGTTTGTATTTGCTGCAATCTAATGGTCCCTTCACATTCTTCACCCTTCACCCTTCATACTTCATACTTCATACTTCATACTTCATACTTCACATTTCATCCTTTACTCTATTCAGTTCAGTTCACGCGCTATTATAGCTGCATTATCACATACTTTAGTTTGGTCTAATAGGAGATCCCGCAATGCAGCTACGCAGCTATCTATTGACCCGACCAATCCCATTGTAACCGTAACTATAGTTAACGTGGTTTATCAGCATGCGGGCCATATCATCATGTGAGCCACTTCGAAAATGCACCAAAATCGAGGTTTTTTTAATATTTATATTTTAATAACTAATCATTATTTTTGAAAGAAAAAATCATGAAAAATCATAATAAAAATATAATATTTATAATATTTAAGTTTCTTTTTTAAATAATTTATTTTAGCTCGAAATTGTCACACTTTGCATTACAAACTCTCTTTTTCTTTAATAACTTTGATAAAAATTGGAATTTTGGAAAAAAAATTAGATTTCTGAAATATTTGAAAAATAAGGTTTTATATGATAAATTTTTGAAAAATTCTATTGGCTAATAAAGAAAGTGCACGGTTACGCACAGACGAATTTTGTATACAAAATGAAGTGGCCCATATGATGATATGGCCCGCATGCTGATAAACCACGTTATACATAACGTTAGTTAGTTATATAATTTAGTATTTGCTTTGTTTGATGTTAAATACTAGCCAGGCAGATTTTGTATTTATTATTGATAAGAGGAGACAGGAGTATGAAAATAGCTGTATAACTACCTAGTAAGTAAAAATATTTGATTCAACGCAAAGAAAACTAAATCATTATATATATGACGCTCCGCTGGCCCTCCGGGGGCCACTGCCGTGGAGGCCGACTAGGTAGGTATTGTCACGGAGTAGAGATAGAGATAGTGAGATGGTCACGATGGGATGCTTTACTTTTTCTACTATTTTGTGCTGAAATCCAAATGGACTTCTATTCCCCGGATTATAAGACAGTCAGTCAGACGGCGTACAAGTCGCTTGATAAATAGTCAGGTAGATCAGATAAACCATGGGACTGACTAGGTTGTCAATATATACTTGCTACATATCCAAGACCCATACCTGTGTCTATTCTGGGTATCTGGGTATATATCGAGGAAAGCAAACAAAAGCCATAATACATTTGACCTGCAAACTCTCCTGTACAATAAGATACTATATCTATCCATGGATATTCATGTTGCCGCCACAAAAGCCAAATGTTGTCATCTTCATAATGCATGAAATCCTTCGAATGGCGTATGGCGTATGGCGTCCTCTTTCTTTCCGCTTCCCTTTCTCATTCCAAATGTCCAAATCGAGGAAGAAAACAACATCAGCCCATCAAACCAAGTGTGACCAACCACCAACCATCATCCATCATCCATCATCCATCATCCATTTATCAATTCCATCACTTCAAACACACACCTAAAATATGCATAGAATCAACATCATTGTCAAATCGCAATCCAAGGCCTTCAAGACCTTCAAGACCTTTACACAAACAACATTATCCTTCGTACATTACCCAACATCAACATCAACATCAACATCAACATCAACATCAATATCTTATGCGAATTCTTAAACAATATCCACCATCTACCCAACTTCTCCACTCACGGGAACTCTCCCATGATCATAAAGTCTTAAAATCTCCCCTGCTTCATATCGCATCATCCCTGGTCCCTTCTTAAACCTTTTCTTCTGACGCCCTTCACTGCCTGTCCTCGCCTCCCTTGCGTCCCTTGTACTTGATATCTATTATCGTTCATTCTTTTCCCATCGCATTGTCTGTGTTGGTGGTTCCATCTTTTAAGAATCATTTGAAACACTTCTTCCCTTACCAAACACGAGGAAACGAGACGGCTGAACACTCGCTCATCACACACACACATCCATGCCCCCTCGCCCCATCCCATCCCCTCATTCGATTTGATCAACGCGCGCGCCAGTTTTATACCATTTTTGTATTGTAGCTGAAGCTGGGAATTGATATACAGACAATCACTTTGCCATCATCATCATCATCATCATCATATTAATCCTCTGGAATTTTGATTCTCTTCTTCTCTTCTTCTCTTCTTCTCTTCTTCTCTTCTTCTCTTCTTCTCTTCTTCTCTTCTTCTCTTCTTCTCTTCTTTCCCCTCTCTGCTCTCGTCTTGAACTCCTCCACTTGACCTCTTCTCCCTCTTCATTAACATGTTTACTATTATTAAATATTTTAATTCATCCGTATCATCAATTCGTTCACTTCATTCAATTGTTTTCTTCATCGGGCATTGATAATTTGTTATCGCATATCGATACGCTATCATAGCTACCCAAATTATCTAGGTAAGCCCTGTCAATCTAAAGAACCATCCCCTCCTAATACGAGTAAGATCTATTGATTTTTTGCTTTTTTCTTCTGCTCTTGCTTTTGAATAATAATGTGAAGTCGAGCTGATATGAACGGACGTTGGTAGATTCCTCCTTGGAGATGGCTACAAAATACAAAATACCAACAGTGGAATCAATCATCGAAGATCCCGAAGATGAATCAAGGGACGATGTAAGGGGTACTGAAAGAGAATTCCAGAGCAGCATAACTCGTCGTCAACATCGATCAATTCACGATTCCACAATGTTTTCTTCACCCACAAAAGCAAATACGAGTAGGGAAAGAGATAGATCAAGAAGGTTGCATAAATCTACTTCCAGTGGCAACAGACATTCTGCATCAAAACCAAAACCTAAGCATACAAATGCGAAGCGCGCAAGTGGATCATCTTCAAAAGGAAATGAAATGGAGGGGCAACGTCTTCGCCAAAGGCCCGTACAACGGAACCGAGATTCAAGTTCATCATCGTCGTCATCGTCAAGCTCTTCGGATGAAAATGAGAATATCCCTAATCACAAATCGGTCCTTGCTGCTTCAAGAGCAAAATTAACATCACCATCTATGATATCCAATCTAACATCTGTGACTACATCAACCAATAAATCTAGTAGCTCAAGTGGAAGTAACTCAACCGTAACTCAAGCTTCTATTACAAAAGGTTTATCCCTAGGAAAAGAAGCTCAGGCTAAAGAAGAGTCTTTCTCGCCAGCTGTACCATCTCCTCCGAATGTGTTCGCCTATTTACAACAGGACTCCGATGAAGAAGATGAAGAAGTTGGGGAGGTCAAGGAAGATGAAGCAGAGGGCAAAAAGGCGGAGACACAAGAAGATACCTCTAAATGGTTGATTGACCATGGCGATAAAAGTTTCACCCCAGTATCACGTCCACATACTCCAGAGGAACATCCAAGTGGTCCTTCATCCGTCTCAAGTAGTCTTCACAGTGATGATTTCTCAGCACCAGAAGCCGATATCGACACAGATAGGAGTACATCACCAGAAAGAAGTGTGAATGGTCGAGAAAATCTACGAGTCACCACGAATTCAAAAGATGCCTCAGTCAAATTAGCGTCTCAAATGGCAGCTGCCAATCAACGACAAAATTATTACGGAGCAGCTCCATCATTTGGAACACCAAAAACCCATCATCGCACAGACAGCAACCCACTCTCTCCCGCTGATCTGGAGACACCTCGCAATCCACATCCACCCAAGCATACACTCCAATCTCAGATTGATCCGACTATCACAGGCTATGAACTCCTCGCTTCTCGCTTATCAGCATCTTCCCATTCCGGTTCCGGCTCTGATACAGTAGTGGAAGATCGTATCAAGCCCATGTATCGAAAATTCGAAGCACTCAATCATCGTCTTCTCCTTCATCTTCAAGATGAAATAAGCGAACTGGAAGAACAATTGCAAAGATTGGATAAAGCCGATACTGAATCTAGAAGGTTACGACATACTGGTAATGGAAATTTCGGGGTGGATGTGATTCCTGCATCGAGAAGAGCAAGTGAACAAATGGGTGGTGATTTACAGTGGCACAAAATGGATGTTCTGGGGAGGATCGGTTACAAATTGGCTCAATACAGTCAGCACTCCTCACTATCCCTACCTTACCCCATACCCCACACATCCCCCCATACTAACCTCATCCAGATCAAACTCTAACCTCGTTCCACTCTCTTCAATCACTTCCTCCCGCTACTCAACCGGATATTAGCCATTATCGAGAATACCTTCAAACCGTCCGTCCCATAACCGAAGTGGAAACTAGATTCTTAGATCCAAAAGTTGAGGATGATTTAGTTTCAGTTGCTTCTGCTTCTTCTGGTTTCAGAAGTCAAGGTCGTCATCGAAATGGAGATCAATTCATTCGTCATAAACGTTCATTACCATCATCAATATCAGATAGTAGTGATGATGATCGTCCAATTGAGAGAACACCCACCAGTAGCGCTGTCGACTCACCTCTTCATCCACCACCTCATTTAACGCATGATCATCTTGGAGTGGGAAATGCAATATCTCATGCAGAAGATTTCCCCACTTTGGCATGTGCAATAGCTCTCAGTATCTTCATACCGATCCTGACTTTCGCAACCATCCCAACATTCCTAGGCAGAATGACGGTGGTTTGCTTGGTCGGATCGGGTATTGTAGGAGCACTTGTACAAAGTGGATTTATTGGCCTAAATGATGTGATTGAAAGTATTAAGGGTTTGAAAGGTTCACAAAGACGAGAGGGATTGGTTTGCGTGGGGGTTTACTTGGGGTGTATGGGGGTGCTTGCAGGGGTTGTTGGGTAATAAATCCTTTTGTGTATGTTCTGGAAGGCATCAGGCCGTTGTGATGCTATACTGGATCTCTTCTCGGTTATTTTTCGCATTCGAATCTTTCGATTTGCATAACTACCTCTGGCCAACAATTCTGCACGGGAAGATAAGAGCTCTCCATAGATTGAGTTATGATGTGTCGAGGAAGTTTTATTCGGTCAAGATGTTTTTTCTGGATTTCCTATCGACTTTGCTTGGTCTAGTTTTGTTCAGTTCACTCGGTTCGCTTGGTTTGACCGGATTTCACGTCTACATGATACCCTTTCTTCTACTTTATCTCGGCCGGTTTTGGGAATTGACGATTTGGCGCTATGGCTTTGATTTAGTCACTCGGTTTCTCAGGTTTTCGGATTTGTTCATCTCTTTTCATCTCTTCCCTTTTCATCTCTTATTTCTTCTCTCGTTTCTTTTGAAATAGAATTTCTTTATTCGATTAGCCTTTTTCAAGGATCGATATAGGGAATCCTATTACGCAATCAATGAAAGATTGTACTATGCTATGCTAGGGTATCAGAATACGTACGATAGGGAGATACTTATGGTTGCGATTACGGTTGTGTTTGTGGCTGTAATGGAGTTCTTGTATTGTATTCTATGGTGTATTCATATGTATGCGTTTTTTGATGGATGGGGTTTCTGGAGGTGGAATCTTTGTGGGGAATTTGTTCAAGGGATTTGTATGATGGATGGATATGAACATGAATAGGAGGAGGAGGAGGAGTATGAGTATGAGTATGAGTATGAATATGAAGAAGAGGAGGAGGAGTATTAGTATAAGTATTATGTATTTGGAATTTTGACAATGGGCATTAGGGAATTGGGAAATGTGGACTTGAGATTTGAGATTTTGATTTTGGATTGGAGATTGGAAATTGGAAATTTAGGATCTCAGATTGGAAATAAGGATTGGAAATTTCTTGTATATGTATGCATATCTATATGTGTTTATGTATACCTATCTACATAAGATTCTACAATGACTTTTGGAAAGAGATGATATAGAATGAAAATGAAAATGAAAATGAAAATAGTATTGCTTTTTTCTCAAATATATTTATTCAACAATATTCCAAAAACTGTTATTAATTATTATATATAAAAAAGTTAAGAAAAATTAACATATTTGTTACTTTGAGATTATTAGATGTAATTATTTTATTAAACCTAATATTAACCGATATCCCTGCATCGTGCACGACCCTGTATCTTGCACGCTTTAATTTATTGAATTAAAAATTGATTATAAATCCAAAACTGCTTATAATAATATTAAAATTTATAAAAAACAGATTGAAGATCAGCTAAATATAATAATAAGTTTTTGATAAATTTGAAATATCAAATAGAATATTAATTGATTTTAAAAAATAATATTTAAGATATTAATAATTTAATAAAAATTTATATTAGAATAAATTTATATTATTAAAATAAGTTTTTTGAATTAAATTATATTATTATTATTGAAAAAAAGCTTGAAATTCTGAAAAATATAAAAATTAAGTTTTAAATATAATTTCAAAAATATGTATAATATTCAAAAAAATAAAAAGAATTTAAAAATTCTTTTTAAAATATTTTAAAATGTTTTTTATAGATTTTAAGAATTTGAAATTATTATTGGATTTTAATTAGAAAATAGAATTTTTATATATTAGAAAATATATAATATATAAATAAAATTATAAAAAAATAATATAATTAAAAACTATAACTTATTATATATTAAATTAATATATAAAACGAAAAAAAAGAAATGAAATAAAATATTCTATTTTTTAAAAAAAACTAAAAATATTATAAATCTATTTTTAAAAGAATTATTTTTTTAAAAAAAATCCTCAAATTTTATATATTTCTAATAATTTTATAGATTAAATCTAATTATAATTTAATATTATAAATATTCTCTTTTTTTATTAATATTCAAATTAATTCCGTTTTAAAATTTTTTTTAAAAAAAATCTTTTTTAGAAATATTTATTATTAATTATATAATCCTAATATTTAATTTTATAATTTTTTTAATAATTGATAATATATATATATATATTTATAAAATATAGTTATTTTTAGTTTTCTAATCAAAATTAATCTATTAATAATATTATATAATTAAAAAAATTAAAAATCATTAAAAATACTTGATTTATAATCAATTTTTTTAAAAAAAAGATTATTTATAAAACCTTAAATAATATATTATATAATATCAAACTTATAATATAAAAACTTTAATTTTTTTATTTCTTTATATTAAAATATATTCAAATTTATAAAAAAGAAATTGAAAATCAATTTTCGCTATTTCTATTAATAAATAAATTAATATATAATATTTTTGTATTAATAATTTTAATATTGAAATTATATTATATATAATAATTATTTTTATATTTTGATTATTTTATAAAAAATAAATAGTAATATAATATATTATATATAATTATTAATAGAATTCAATGATTGATTAATTATATATTGAATTTAGAATATCTTTTTTAAAAGAAATAAAAGTGTGCACGATATAGGGGCGTGCACGATATAGGGATATCGGTTATATTCAATTCAAAAATGTTTGAATAATTTCAACTACATATTAAAACTAATATTTTTAATATATTAGATCTAATATCGAAAAAAAATTAATCTGAATACGCCTTAACTCACTCACTCACTCACTCACTCACTCACTCACTCACATACTTCCAACATATCATTCCGTCATCTCATTATCTCATTACCCCATAATCAAATCACACCTAATCATCAAATCACATCCACCAGTGGGTGCACAGACTCACGGGACACTTAAGAGGAAAAGCACAATCTCACACCAAAAAGAGCTGTTTTGATAATTCAATTAAAATTCAAAAAATTGATATTTGACTTTGAAATTAAGAATTATCATTCTTAAGCATAAGAATTTTATATAATAAAAATTTTATTTCAAAAAAAAACAAAATTCAAGTTTATACAATCGATTATATAATATCCCATCAAATTTTTTAATAAAAAAACATACTATTTGATTTTTAAATTCAATATTTATTTTTAAGATTCAATCTTTATATATTATATGAATTTTATATTTATAAATCATATATCTTAATCTAAATAATATTAAATAGAATTTGGAATTTTGATTGAGTTTTGAAGTTCATAAATTTGAGTGTGAAATTGTGCTTTCCTGTCACATTGTCCCGTGAGTCTGTGCACCTACTGGTGATCTAATCAAACCAATACCAAAAATAAATAAAAATGAATAACGTGGTTTATCAAGTGGATCACTTTCACCTCAATTTTTTATACATCAATTTAATACACATTTTATCAATTAATTATTATAAAATCAATTATCAAAAAAGCTTGAATACTTCTAACTATCAAAACTATTCAAAAAAATAAAAAACTTAATATACAACAATTTGTTAAGATATATAATATACTATTTATAATATTATATTATAAAATAAATAATTTAACTTCATATACCAAAACTCAAATAAATTAATATAAACTTACAGAATTAAAAAAAATATCATTATTCAGTATATTCTTAATATAAATTCAAAAGGTTTTCCACCTAAACTCAAAAGGGTAAAAGATATAGCAAACCATATTCTTAAATCGAAAAATAGAAAAATGATTAAAAAGCTTTAGGTACATCGATTTGTAAAATGTTATAAAGAATTAAAAATATATTTTAGTTATATTTATAACTTTCAAAAAGCTTTGTACAAGAATTCTAAGCTTCTTTGAATATGATTCTGTTTTATATTGAATATACAAATGAAACATAATATACTAAATTATAATATATAGAATTTCAATAAAATAGGTTTTATAATAGGAGTTATAACTATTAATATAATAATTACTAGTATTAAAAGGAGTAATAAAAATAAAATAATATAATTAAACAATAAGAAATAAGTAATAGCAATTATATGTAATAATAGTATAAAGGAAATTATATTTTCATTTCTGGTAATTCAAGAATAAATATATCTCTTCAATTGATATACAAAAACCGATTTTTCTATAGATTGGATTATTAAATCTATTAGCAATGAATAGATAAATAATGAAATAGAATTGGAATGATTAAAATATTTTGATAAATATATAATAAATTGTAGAGTAAATAAATACTGAATGTTAATACTAAATAGATATAAAAGCTATAAATCAAGAACTTTTCAAGTATATTGTAAAGAGAACAATATCATATACTTAAGTCTATTATTGTATTCAAATTATTTAATTCAATTATTCGATATTGAATGTTTTAGTAAATTAAAATAAAAATATAATATCCAAATTGAGGAGTTTATAAGGATATATATCAATTATATTTTAAAGATTGAATTCCTTATAGTTTTCAAAACTATATATTAATAATCAATTATAAATCAGAATATAAAATCTGGATTCCGAAGAATAGGATTAATATCTTTTAATCCTAAAATAGTAATCTCAAAATTAGATATTCGAATATATATATTTATTTCTCTTTTTATCAATTTAAATCTTTGGATTTCTTAAATTCTTTACAATTCTATAAAAGCTTTTTTTTAATCAATATTAATTAAATCTCGAATAAATTATTATTAATCAAGCTTTTTTATATTTATATTTGAAATTGTATTAATTTTAATTAAAGGTATAAAAAGATTAGTTTATAAGAATACATTTTTAAATACAAAGATTTATATATTTCAAAAATGAATTAGGCATTAAGCAAACATCAATACACAAAAAAAACTCAATTACATTTAGGAAAAGTATTTACTAGATAGAAAGCTATAGATATATTATTTCAATAAAAGATTGATATTTAGATTTAATATAATAAATATCAAAAGAAAAGAAATTTTAATAAGAAAGTATTTTCTAATTAATATTATAATAAATATAGAAAAATAGATTATAATATAAGAATCTATTAAAATAATATAATAGATTCTAGATTATTAGATTCTTAATAGTTTTAATTAATTGATTTAATTATTATTGAATAATATAAGTTTAAAGTAGTAAATTAAGGTGAAAATGATTCACTCAATGATATAATCCATTCGATGATAAACCACGTTATATATATTCTTTTAGCTTTCCCGCCCTACCTCACCTCTCCCACCTTCATATTTTCAAAGACCAGAGAGTAGAGTATAACAACACGATACGATACGATACGATACGATATGATACGACGACACAATATAATATAATATAGCAAGCAAACCATCATTATCAACCTCAAAATCTCAACCAACAACCAGTCCATCCATCCAGTCTAATTTCCACTTTCAAAGATAGCCGCCCACCCTCATTCCTCATCCCTTTTCGTTTCCTCATCTTCCTCAAACAAACAAACGCTGCTCGTAAAAGCCCCTGGTATAATGAACTCTAAGTTCCACAAGATGCCATCCCATCCAATCCCCCACCAATCAATTCAATTCAACCCCACCTCTCCAGTTGCATAACCAGCAAAAACATTTAAAGAGACTTAGGTAACCACGCCATAGAGCGTCAGCTAAACTCCCAACACCATAACAGACCCTTCCAAAACTCTCCACTCAAACTCCAAGGCAAAGCCAATCCAATAATGCAGTCCCTCCAAATCCAGCTAGCAAAATAATCTAGAAGAATCCTGCCAATCAACCATCCTTGAAATGCTCGTTATGATTCGTCGCATTATCGAAAATTCGTTTATATTCGTCGTCATTCTTTTCTCGCTCTCTTCTCTCCTCAGCTGTCTCTCTCTCATCACTGGTAAACCTCTCTCTCACCACACCCTTTCCCTTCCAATTCATTTCACTTATTCCGCTCGTTCCTCCACTCCTCTCACTTTCTCTCCCCTCCTCAATATTAGTAATCCCACTAATACCACCCTCATTAAACCCCAGACTTCGCGCATGGACAGGTTGACTCTCCATTGTTGTTCGTCCTCCAAGAGATGCCGGAACTGCTGTTCCACTTCCCATGATACCACCATTACTAATTCCCCCAGGTCCAATATTTCC